GTTTAATAAAATCAAGATATATAAGTACTGTATGTATTGATTTCAAAAATTCAATTTTATTTCAGAGTAGATCTTTATTATTGACTGTATGACATAGTAAGGCTAACCATTTTTCTGAAAGAAATTAGTCATCTTCATTCAAAATCAACGTTATTTTAGAAAACATCAATCTCCGTTTAATTAGACTTTAATGACATTAAATTTAAGCAAATTAAATTTAAAATAATTACATCCAAACAAATGTATAACATTCTATCGATTTTACTAGCATACATCGAACGTCACACCGTGGAATATTTTGCCCCTGTGAAACTTGTACACTATAATCAGGACTAGTAAACAAGACTTGATGGCTTCACACTGTCGTTTTGTAGCTAGTGGAGCTTACTAGTCGGGTCTCTCCAGTTACAACCAGAGTACAACAGTTTTATCGTACAACATTCAAGGTTGACTGTAAACGCGAGTGTAAATGGAAGTATGTAACAAATTGTGAAGAAAATTAATATTGAAATTTATAGTATTGCATGTCTTATAAACACGTACGTCTTGTTACTTCTACTTACACTTAAGCACACTAAATATACATGTACACGTAAATGTACACATACCGATCTGAATTTTCTTCTATTTTTCTAAATAGTTCTTGTTCTTTTTATTACCTTTTATCTCCGTGGGGAAGTGGAAACGAATCTTTCCTCCGTAAGCCATGCGTGTCGTAAGAGGTGACAAAAATACCTGGAGCAAGGGGTTGGTAACCCCTTGTCCTGTATAATTTTCTAAAAATAAGAAAAAATGTTTATAAAGCGTGGAAGTAGTGCAGATGATAGAGATGATTGCCAGTGTTATGAAAAGAATATGGATGTTGTAGCCCTAATCAAAACGAAGCTGAAGGTGGTAGATAAGTCTCAGTAAGGAGAAATAAATGGGAGTATCTGAATTAGAGCTAAGGAAGGGGTAGCAATAATGTCGAAGGATCACTTAAGAATGGAGAAGAGGGAATATAAATGTATAAATTTAAGGATTAGGTGGATTAAAATTAGGGTCGGATGCGAAAATTTGGTCATAATAGGTGTGTATACACCTAGAGAAGAGAGGAGTATAGAGGAGAGAGAGATTTTGGGACATGTTAAGCGAGGGTTTAGGAACGAGAGGAGAGTTGCTAGATGGAGAGTTAGAGGTATGGGAAAGATGAAGGGAATATTTTGAGGAATTGTTTAATGTTGTTGAAAGTAGGGAAGCTGTGGTTTCGTGCATTGGGCAGGCAGGTATAACATCTTGTAGGTGTGAGGAGGAACCAGTTCTGAGTGTGGGGGAGATGCGTGAAGCAGTTCCTAGAATGAGAATGGGTAAAGCAACTGGGATTGATGGAATAAGGACAGAAATGTTAAAATCAGGTCAGGATATAGTTTTGGAATGATTGGTACTTTCATTTAATAAATGTGTGGAAAAGGGGAAGGTACCTAGGATTGAGTAGAGCATGCATAATTCTTTTGTATAAAGGCAAAGAGAAGAAAAGTGTAAAAATTATAAGAGAATAAGCCTGTTAAGTGTACCGAGTAGTGTATGGTAGATTTATTAGTGAAAGAATGAAGAGTAAGACGGAGAGCAGGCAGGATCACAAAAGAACAAGGAGGTTTTAAAAAGGGAAGGGCGGGTGTAGATTAAGTGTTTATAGTAAAACATATAGGTGAACAGTATTTAGATAAAGGTTTTTGTTGCATTTATGGATTTGGAAAAAGCGTATGATAAGGCAGATAGGGAACCAGTGAGGCCCCCTATCTGCCTTATCATACGCAGGCAGGTTGCTGAAAGAAGTTAGTTTTTACGAGGATATTAGGCTCAATTTAGAGCATGTAGGGAAGAGAGAGAGAGAGACTATTTCCCAGTAAAAGTAAGGCTTAGATATGGATGTGTGATGTCACCATGATTGTTCAGTATATTTATACATGGGGTGTTGGCAAGAAGTGTGGGATTAAAACTTGAAGAATCTAACACAAAATGTTTAATTGTCACGGATGCTTTTTGTTGCTGATACTGTGCTTTTGGGAGAGTGTGAAGAGAAGTTGCAGAAGTTGGTGACCTAGTTTGGAAGAGTATGCAAAAGAAGGAAATTAAAAGTGGAAATAGGATGGAGTAAGGTGATGAGGAAAAAAAACTTAGGTAATGAAAGACTGGATATCAGATTAAAGGGAGGGAGAATGGAGGAAGTGAATGTATTCAGATATTTGGGAGTGGACTTGTCAGCAGATGGGTTTATGAAAGATGAGGTGAATCATAGAATTGATGAGAGGAAAAATGTGAGTGGTGCACTGAGGAGAATCTGGAGAAAAAGAACATTATCCATGGAAACAAAGAAGGGAATGCATGAGAGTATGTGAAGCATGGTTCTGGAGTTTTGAGAGACTGTGATCGCGGGTTCTAACCCCGCCCGTGGTATGGTTTGGTGAATGTTGCAACAAGGAGAAGGCTGGAGGTAGTGGAGACAACGTATCTGAGGGCAATGTTCATTCTGAGTATAATGCAGAGAATCAGTAGTTCGGAAATTAGGAGGAGGTGCAGGGTTACTAAAAGCATTATCCAAAGGGCTGAGGAGGAGATTGTTGAGGTGGTTCGGACAGAGAGGGTGGAACAGAACAGAATGCCTTGGAGGGAGTATAAATCTGTAGTTGAACGAAGGCGGGATAGGGGTCGGCCTAAGAAAGGTTGGAGGAAGGGGGTGAATGAAGTTTTGTGTGCAAGGAGCTTGGGCTTCCAGCAGGCATACATGAGCGTATTAGGTAGAAGCGAATGGAGAGGAATGGTTTTTAGGATTTGACGTGCTGTTGGAGTGAAGGGATTCAGGGAAACATGCAGGCCGGACTTGCCATCTTGGAGATGGGTGGTACAGTGCCTGCGCTCTGAAGGATGGATTCTGATGTCGCAGTGTTGGAGTGAATGATGAAAGAGTTTCCTCTTTTTCAGGTCACCCTGCCTTGGTGGGAAACAGCCGATGTGTTAATAAAAGTGCGTGTGTTTATGCCACTTTATGCATTTTCCATATCTGTGACATTTTCCAAAGTTAGTGGGAAGTAAAAATTGCCTTAAATGGTAAGTTTTTGAACAATTAAAATAGGTCTCTCAGCAGACAGACCACTGTATTACGGGAAAGCTTTAAACCCAGCTATGATCGCTCCCACAGCCAAGTTGTGATCGCTCCCACAGCCAAGTTGTGATCGTTCCCACAGCCAAGTTGTGATGGTTCCCACAGCCAAGTTGTGATGGCTGCCACAGCCAAGTTGTGATGGCTGCCACAGCCAAGTTGTGATCGCTCCCACAGCCAAGTTGTGATGGCTGCCACAGCCAAGTTGTGATGGCTGCCACAGCCAAGTTGTGATGGCTGCCACAGCCAAGTTGTGATGGCTGCCACAGCCAAGTTGTGATGGCTGCCCAGCAGTGTGATGCTGCACAGCCACGTTGTGATGGCTGCCACAGCCACGTTGTGATGGCTGCCACAGCCAAGTTGTGATGGCTGCCACAGCCAAGTTGTGATGGCTGCCACAGCTAAGTTGTGATGGCTGCCACAGCCAAGTTGTGATGGCTGCCACAGCCAAGTTGTGATGGCTGCCACAGCCAAGTTGTGATGGCTGCCACAGCCAAGTTGTGATGGCTGCCACAGCCAAGTTGTGATGGCTGCCACAGCCAAGTTGTGATGGCTGCCACAGCCACGTTGTGATGGCTGCCACAGCCACGTTGTGATGGCTGCCACAGCCACGTTGTGATGGCTGCCACAGCCACGTTGTGATGGCTGCCACAGCCACGTTGTGATGGCTGCCACAGCCCGTTGTGATGGCTGCCACAGCACGTTGTGATGGCTGCCACAGCCAAGTTGTGATGGCTGCCACAGCCAAGTTGCGATGGCTGCCACAGCCAAGTTGCGATGGCTGCCACAGCCAAGTTGCGATGGCTGCCACAGCCAAGTTGCGATGGCTGCCACAGCCAAGTTGCGATGGCTGCCACAGCCAAGTTGCGATGGCTGCCACAGCCAAGTTGCGATGGCTGCCACAGCCAAGTTGCGATGGCTGCCACAGCAAGTTGCGATGGCTGCCACAGCCAAGTTGCGATGGCTGCCACAGCCAAGTTGCGATGGCTGCCACAGCCAAGTTGCGATGGCTGCCACACCAAGTTGCGATGGCTGCCACAGCCAAGTTGCGATGGCTGCCACAGCCAAGTTGCGATGGCTGCCACAGCCAGTTGCGATGGCTGCCACAGCCAAGTTGCGATGGCTGCCACAGCCAAGTTGCGATGGCTGCCACAGCCAAGTTGCGATGGCTGCCACAGCCAAGTTGCGATGGCTGCCACAGCCAAGTTGCGATGGCTGCCACAGCCAAGTTGCGATGGCTGCCACAGCCAAGTTGCGATGGCTGCCACAGCCAAGTTGCGATGGCTGCCACACCCAAGTTTGCGATGGCTGCCACAGCCAAGTTGCGATGGCTGCCACAGCCAAGTTGCGATGGCTGCCACAGCCAAGTTGCGATGGCTGCCACAGCCAAGTTGCGATGGCTGCCACAGCCAAGTTGCGTTTGGCTGCCACAGCCAAGTTGCGATGGCTGCCACAGCCAAGTTGCGATGGCTGCCACAGCCAAGTTGGGATGGCTGCCACAGCCAAGTTGGGATGGCTGCCACAGCCAAGTTGGGATGGCTGCCACAGCCAAGTTGGGATGGCTGCCCAGCCAAGTTGGGATTGGCTGCCACAGCCAAGTTGGGATGGCTGCCACAGCCAAGTTGGGATGGCTGCCACAGCCAAGTTGGGATGGCTGCCACAGCCAAGTTGGGATGGCTGCCACAGCCAAGTTGGGATGGCTGCCACAGCGGAATTAGAAAAATTCCTTGAATCAAACCTTATTTAGCTTACGTTTCTCAGGTGCTCAAAGATCTATACGGGTTTCGCGCTTCCTTATTAATGTGATATTATTCTTAGCATTTCTCTAGAATATTAGGATAATTTTCTCACTTATCTTCAGAAATGACTCTGGCAGGAACATATCTGATAGCAGGGAGAAACCCTCTGGCAGGGATAAATGCGAAAGGAGGAAGAAACTCGCTGATATTGTTGATGGCGGTAGTGTTGATGGCGTCATTAGTGACGGGAGGAGTACCGTCAGTTGTCTACGTCCCGAACAACGTCTTGGGAAACATCTTCATAGCAGCAGGAACATCACTGAACACCCTGGATACATACTTGACCCTCAACGTGACAACCAAGTGTAAGTTACCCATACATTCACACCCAATAAAACAAAGTATTTTTACCTATTCCTTTTCTAGTCTTTTCCTATGTTCCTGAAACTAATATCGTCCTTCTTAAAACAAAAGTAAATTATTAATATTTATGATATGAGAAACCTGTTTATAATTCATATGTCGATGCTTGTGCTCTATGTGCAGCATTTTTTTTACTAATACTCTTAGGTAGAGAACAAAGAGGAACAATACCATGGCGGGAACAACACTTAAAATAACCCGGGCACAGGAGAAAGGAACTTGACAAAGTTTCGGTCCGACTTGGACCATTGATTAGTCAATGGTCCAAATACTCTTAGGTTTGCCACCTATAAACAAACCCACCCCTTCCTTACTGACCAAGACCCACCTGTGTCTTCCACCCAGACACCAACTCACCCTGTACCTACTGCACAGAGACAAGATCACTCTATCCGACAGGCCCGCTGTCGTCAAGTTGGTGAGTAAGACATATGTCTAGCACTTAGACATCTTTATTGACGAAACGTTTCGCCTACGCTCCAGGCTTCAGCAGTTGAACACAGACAGGATTACAAAGCATAAAACAGTAGAAGAAATGGAGAGGTAATTTAGAGTTGATCAATCCCTTATTCTTGATCGAAGATTATCTGACAAAGCTGAGTAGCTGCTAATCTCAAAATTACCTCTTTATTTCTACTGTCTCCGTTATTGTAATCGCCTACCTATTACGCAGGCGAAAATTTTCGTTAAAAAAAAATAATGCTCCACATGTCTTGCACATGAACACACTCAACCCTTACACAGTCCGCTCGACACCAACAGCTTCGACACCAACAGCTTCGACACCAACAGCTTCGACACAAGCCCAGCTAATCACTAGACTAACCCAGTTTAGTAACAGGTGTTGACGTATATCGACTGAAAATTTTAAGCCAATATGTTTTCAAAACGTAGTTAAAGCTAAGTGATGATGGAATAGTTAACTCAAGGTTTCACTTAATGGACCACTACGGTAGAATCTAGGGCTTTGACTTTCTAGAGGTCCACTGTTATTAACAACGTGGCTAATTTTCTGAGCTATGGGAAGCAGCTTATCAATTAATCGATGTATATGAAGCTATAGTGAAACAGTCTTAGTATTTAAGTTTCCCTTCTTATTATTTCTGTTCAAGTAAGGCATTAAACCAACTACATCTCACCGCATTGAGGGCAAGACGCACTTTACGTTAGTGTGACTCACTTGGTTGTCTCCTATTATTAATAACTGCATCAGTATAAAAATGGTATTAAATACTGACAAATAGATATGTACAGAAGTGTGCATATTAATTGGGAGTGATGAAATAAGATATTTGGAAAATTAATGTTTATTTGAAGAATACACGGCAATGATACGACAGATATATCAAATATCAGGAATGTTTCCAGGCCACTTTAGAACGCTTAGGCCACTCTCTTCGAAGAATGTCGGCATTTTTCTGCAAATGTGGCATGGAAGATCATCTTGCTGGAAAATGCCTTCTCCAGCAGGAAAGTGTCTATACACAGTGGAAAGCACATGAGTTGCCAGGATTGCCTTGTATTTATTGCTCAGCGTTCCCTTAACAATAAAAAGCCGTCCAGGGCCTTTAGCTGTAAAACTACCCTATAGCTTCTTAGGTGAGTGTTATGGCGGTTGCTGAATGTGTCCATTCCCATTCCACTGATCTGTACCCATGTACTTCACAGCTCAAAATATACCTTTCCTCCATTTATCTCTCGTCCATCTCTTTTAATCGAGTATCCACCGCAGTCGTTTTTTCTTCATAGTAGCAGTAAATAATTGTTTTTATCGGTTTTATGGCAGTTCTACCAACTGCAAGGAGACTTCGTCAAGAATTGAAGAATCAACATTTATGCCAGCTGAAGCCAAATCTGTATCTGTAAATGTTTGCTGGTTGTCTTAGGATCCTTCACACTATTAATCATGATAAGCTTGTCATCGTGAGGTGTCTTGCGTTTTCTTCAACAATCACCAGTGCCGTCAGCTCTCTCCACAATCCGATCAATAGTTGACTTTGTTAGGCTCATATTTTAGGCGATCTGTCTGATACTCAAATCGGCAGGTTTTTTAAGAGCTACAATACTTGCACGAGTCCTAGGTGTAACATCGATCATGAATTTCAGCAGACATTATGAACTGAAGAGGAGAATCTTTCGAAACTAAATTCACTCATAGAGCACGCTTACAGAGCAACATCTATTGTAGAACTGAAGGCAGTCGCAGAGTAACAGAACAGCTGGATGGTTGCCAGAAGTCAGTAGCAAACTCTTATGAAAAGAGAAGAACTCAAACTACATTAAGCTGGAGACTAAGACATATGAGAAAATAGCAAAATATACTCCTGTCGCAGTTAATATGCACACTACTGTAAGATACATGTGCTACTATTAGGTATCTTTATTCCCAAACGATTTGCCTACACAAAAGGCATCATCAGTCTGGTACAGAGGCAGATATGTGACACTATAGAAGTAAAGATGTAATCAGCCCCTTATCTTTACCTCTATACTTCTGCTGTCTACAGTTTTTGCCACCTCTGCATCCAACTGATGAATGCTACTGTATAGTCGAAACGTTACACGTATCTTCTCTAAAAATAAGTGTACGTACAACCTGAACAGGCCAGTGTCGTGGAGTTTGCTGGTCAGACCCCCACTGCTCAGCGGCTGCTGCCACAGAGGTTAGCACTGGCAACGTAGTGTGTCAATTGGCAAACAAGGGTCCCATTAATTCAAGCCTCATTGCAGACAAGTTGTCTACATATTACTTCTGGAATGGTTAGTATTGCTAGCAGCTACATTTGTAAGTAATTCAAATATTCATACATAATGATAGCAGGTTTAAACTTTCTTCATGCTAATGTATGTATGCGTATGTTATATATGCCGTGCCGAATAGGTAAAACTTGCGATTTCGGCTTAAATAGCAAATCTGTTCTTGCCGAACAAGGCAAGCGAAAATTTGTGTGTGCAATAATTTCGCAAAAATCATTCCGAACGTAACGAAAAAAATATATTTCATTGTGCTTGTTCATTTTTAAATTATTGTAAACTTGTGTAAAATATATTTAGTTGGATTAGACTTAATTAAATTGCGCTTGTTATAATAAGTTTAGGCAAGTTTCCTAAGGTTCTTTTGGTACAAAATGATTAACTTTTGCATTAACATAAATGAAAAAAAATCTGTAACGTATAAGAGAAAGTTTTAGAAAGCATTTAATTTTAAATGAGTTCTTGCTAACTGGCCAATTTTACCTATTTGGCACGACATGTACATGTCTCGGCTAACAAGCCGAACTGGTCAATCAGGCCGAACTGCCCAACAAATAGAACTTAATTCAAATTTTCTTTCGTGGATTATTAGTAAGGATTTACCAAAGTATCGGTATAGCCCGTTATCAGTCATTTCTACGGTATCGGTTAAACAGAAAATATTAACATTGCATGTTTACTTAAAAACATCAGCACTCATTATGATAGCGAGTTAGAGACTTTGAGACAGTGAGACTTTGAGACAGTGAGACACGCGCGCGCACACAGAACCTAGAGAGGAATGAGCTTATTCACAACCAGCTTGGTTTCAGAGAAGGGTCGCAAACCTACTGGAATTTTTTGACAAAGTGACGCCAATAAGACAAGGAAGAGAGGGGTGGGTAGATTGAATTTTCTTGGACTGTAAAAAGGCTTTTGACAGTTCCACACAAAAGATTAGTGCAAAAGCTGGAGGATCAGACAGGTATAACAGGGAAGGCACTGCAGTGGATCAGAGAATACCTGATAGGAAGGTAACGAGGAGGCATGGTACGTGCCGAGGTGTTAGTGGGTGCCTGTGAATAGCAGGGGTCAGTCCTAGAAGAGGTGCTGTTTCTAGTATATGTGAATAACATGACGGAAAGGATAGACACAGAAGTGTCCCTCTTTGCAGACGAAGTGCAGCTAATTAGAATTCAATCGGATCTTGGGGTTAGTATAATACCGATCACATCCGAGGCAAACATCATACAGACAACTGCTGCTGCATATGGGTGACTGTCAAAGCTAAGAATAGCGTTCCCGACACCTCAGTAAAGAATCGTTCAAGACAGTTTGGCACCACTACCTGGTCACGCACTTCAAGAAATTAAAGTGCAAAGGTTTGCAACATGACTATAGCCCTTGTGGCTTAACGCTTCTTTTTGATTATAATAATAATAATAATGCAACATGACTAGTCCCCGAGCTCAGGGGCATGTCTTACGAGGAGAAGTTAAAGGAAACCGACCTGACAACACTGGAGGACACGAGCGATAGAGGGACATAACGATATATAAATTACTGAGGGGAATTGACAAAGTGGAGAGGGACGTGGAGTTTCAGAGATGGGACGCAGCAACAAGGAATCACAATTGGAAGTTGAAGACTCAGATGAGTCAGAGGGATGTTAGGAAGTATTTCTTCAGTCACAGAGTCGTCAGGAAGTGGAATAGTCTAGATGATGTAGTGGTGGCAGGATCCATACATATCTTTAAGAAGAGGCATGATAAAGCTCATGGAGTAGGGAGAGAGTGGACCTAGTGGCGATCAGTAAAGAGGCGGGGCCAGGAGCTATGAATCGACCCCTCCAACCACAATTAGGCGAGTACACACACACACACACACACACACACACACACACACACACACACACACACACACGCACACACGCGCACACGCGCGCGCGCGCGCACACACACCAACAACACACACACACCACACACCACACACACCACACACCACACACACCACACACACAACACACAACACCACACCACACACACACACACACACACACACACACACACACACACACACACGCACACACAAGCCACAGTTGACGGTAGTAGCTTTAGCACTCAGTACTAGGTCCTCTTTAAAGATGGATATTACAAACACTCAGGGTTAGCCTTAAAATCTAAACGAAGTGGAGGAACAAGTCAATACATGTTCCTTCCAACTCGAGCGTCAGTAAGCAAAAAAGAATAGGAACTGGGGCCATGCCAGCACGGCCCCACTTGCCAGACAGAATCAGGAGAAAGATGAAGGAAACCAAAATTCCATACTCTATATTACGGTATTATTGGTGCTGTAAATGAAATCACTTAGATTTTCCAAATTTGTTAAGCTGGTAAACATAATATTTAATGAATTAATGGGAAAATGTAAATTAATTTATTTAAAGTACCTGTAAGTGGTATTTGGGTCCATGAATTGGTGCATCACAGTCGGTACCAATTAAAACAATTAGTCTGAGATCCGTTATGTACCTCTGGTTAACCTATTATGGTTTGCAGGTTAGATATGCATGCATACGTAAATTTAGTTTAAATACTAACGAGTTCTTGACAATAGGAAACTGATCACCCTACTCAGTAATTCTAACTACGTAGGCAAAGACTAGGCCCCTTAAGGTGCTCTCTTGTTTGTGTGTGTGTGTGTGTGTGCGCGCGCGCGCGTGTGTGTGTGTGTGTGTGTGTGTACACTCACCTAGTTGTACTCACTTATTTGAGGTTGCAGGGGTCGAGTCCAAGCTCCTGGCCCCGCCTCTTCACTGGTCGCTACTAGGTCACTCCCTGAACCATGAGCTTTATCATACCTCTGCTTAAAGCTATGTATGGATCCGGCCTCCACTACATCGCTTCCCAAACTATTCCACTTCCTGATTACTCTGTGGCTGAAGAAATACTTCCTAACATCCCTGTGATTCATCTGTGTCTTCAACTTCCAACTGTGTCCCCTTGTTGCTGTGTCCCATCTCTGGAACATCCTGTCTTTGTCCACCTTGTCAATTCCTCTCAGTATTTTGTATGTCGTTATCATGTCCCCCCTACCTCTCCTGTCCCCCAGTGTCGTCAGGTTGATTTCCCTTAACCTCTCCTCGTAGGACATACCTCTTAGCTCTGGGACTAGTCTTGTTGCAAACCTTTGCACTTTCTCTAGTTTCTTTACGTGCTTGGCTAGGTGTGGGTTCCAGACTGGTGTCACATACTCCAATATGGGCCTAACGTACACGGTGTACAGGGTCCTGAACGATTCCTTATTAAGATGTCGGAATACTGTTCTGAGGTTTGCTAGGCGCCCATATGCTGCAGCAGTTATATGGTTGATGTGCGCTTCAGGAGATGTGTCTGGTGTTATACTCACCCCAAGATCTTTTTCCTTGAGTGAGGTTTGTAGTCTCTGGCCCCCTAGACTGTACTCCGTCTACGGTCTTCTTTGCCCTTCCCCAATCTTCATGAGTTTGCACTTGGTGGGGTTGAACTCCAGGAGCCAATGCTGGACCAGGTCTGCAGCCTGTCTAGATCCCTTCGTAGTCCTGCCTGGTCTTCGATCGAATGAATTCTTCTCATCAACTTCGTCATCTGCAAACAGGGACACTTCGGAGTCTATTCCTTCCGTCATGTCGTTCACAAATACCAGAAACAGCACTGGTCCTAGGACTGACCCCTGTGGGACCCAACTCGTCACAGGTGCCCACTCTGACACCTCGCCACGTACCATGACTCGCTGCTGTCTTCGTGACAAGTATTCCCTGATTCATTGTAGTGCCTTCCCTGTTATCCCTGCTTGGTCCTCCAGTTTTTGCACTAATCTCTTGTGTGGAACTGTGTCAAACGCCTTCTTGCAGTCCAAGAAAATGCAATCCACCCACCCCTCTCTCTCTTGTCTTACTGCTGTCACCATGTCATAGAACTCCAGTAGGTTTGTGACACAGGATTTCCCGTCCCTGAAACCATGTTGGCTGCTGTTGATGAGATCATTCCTTTTTAGGTGTTCCACCACTCTTCTGATAATCTTCTCCATGACTTTGCATACTATACATGTCAGTGACACTGGTCTGTAGTTTAGTGCTTCATGTGTCTCCTTTTTTAAAGATTGGGACTACATTTGCTGTCTTCCATGCCTCAGGCAATCTCCCTGTTTCAATAGATGTATTGAATATTGTTGTTAGGGGTACACATAGCGCCTCTGCTCCCTCTCTCAGGACCCATGGAGAGATGTTATCCGGCCCCATTGCCTTTGAGGTATCTAGCTCACTCAGAAGCCTCTTCACTTCTTCCTCGGTTGTGTGCACTGTGTCCAGCACTTGGTGGTGTGCCCCACCTCTCCGTCTTTCTGGAGCCCCTTCTTTCTCCTCTGTGAACACTTCTTTGAATCTCTTGTTGAGTTCCTCACATACTTCACGGTCATTTCTTGTTGTCTCTCCTCCTTCCTTCCTTAGCCTGATTACCTGGTTCTTGACTGTTGTTTTCCTCCTGATGTGGCTGCATAACAGTTTCGGGTCAGATTTGGCTTTCGCTGCTATGTCGTTTTCATATTGTCGTTGGGCCTCCCTTCTTATCTCTGCATATTTATTTCTGGCTCTACAACTGCTCTCCTTATTCTCCTGAGTCCTTTCTTTGCCTTCTGTATTTCGTCCATTCCCTAGCACACTTGGTTTTTGCCTCCCTGCGCCTTTGGGTGAACCATGGGCTCATCCTGGCTTTTTCATTATTCCTGTTACCCTTAGGTACAAACCTCTCCTCAGCCTCCTCGCACATTGTTGCTACATATTCTACCATCTCATTAACTGGCTTCCCTGCCAGTTCTCTGTCCCACTGAACCCCGTTCAGGAAGTTCCTCATTCCCGTGTAGTCCCCTTACTTGTAGTTTGGCTTCATTCGTCCTGGCATTCCCACTCCCCCCTCTACTTGTAGCTCTACTGTGTATTCGAAGCTTAATAAAACCACATGATCGCTGGCCCCAAGGGGTCTTTCATATGTGATGTCCTCAATATCTGCACTACTCAAGGTGAATACTAAGTCCAGTCTTGCTGGTTCATCCTCTCCTCTCTCTCTTGCAGTGTCCCTTACATGTTGGTACGTGAAGTTTTCCAGTACCACCTCCCTCATCTCAGCCCTCCATGTATCTTGCCCCCCTTATGGCTCCAAGTTCTCCCAATCGATCTCCTTGTGGTTAGTCACCCATGATGAGGAGCTTTGCCCTGCATGCATGAGCTCTTCTGGCCACTGCAGCCAGTGTGTCAACCATCGCTCTATTGCTCTCGTCATACTCTTGCCTTGGTCTCCTGCTGTTCTGTGGTGGGTTATACATCACTGCAATTACCACCTTGGGACCTCCAGACTGAAGTGTTCCCGCTATGTAATCGCTTGCTTCTCCACTGTCTCCTCTCTCCACCTCATCATTGTGCGTGTGTGTGTGTGTGTGTGTGTGTGTGTGTGTGTGTGTGTGAGTGAGTGCGCTCGCGTTACTTTTTTCTTTTGCTACAAAAGTAAAGATATGCTGGTGGTGTCCTGTCTTCAATAATATCTCTGATAATTTAAAAAATATTTAAATATAATAATGTATATGTGAATTCTAGTGAGCATAAGCTACCAGTAGCACTTTCTCGTCAGCGTGTGCACTTTTCTCTAAATTCGATTTCGCGAATTTCTGCTTTTCTCAGTTAGGTTAAACAATGATGGACGACGACTATAGTAAAGTTTTATTAACCGACAACAATGAAACTGAAGACGGTTGAATTTCTCGGTCTATACCAAGTATGAGATTTTCTGTAGGATGCCAATCTTTAGCTCGCCACACTATTAACAGTATTTCTTTCAGTCACAGAAGCTGGTAGTTCATACGTGGTGGGCTCAGATAACTTCCTCTACCTCATCATCCGGAGCAGTTTTAACTTTAGCAAGGCCGTAGAGCTGTGTGCTAGCATCCCAGGACACCGCATGGCCATACTCAAGACAATTGCTCAGTACAACGCTGTAGTCGCTTTGAATCTAAGTATGTCATATATATATATTATATATATATATATATATATATATATTATATATATATATATATATATATATATATTATATATATATATATATATATATAATAAACGAAAAAACTGTTTCATAGTGTTTGTTTATTAATAAATTGTAAACTTATCTAAAATATATTTAGTTGGATTAGGCTAAACTAAATTGCGCTTGTTATAATAAGGTTAGGTAAGTTTTCTAAGGTTCTTTAGGTACACAATTATTAATTTTTACAATACATATAATGATAATATATATATATATATATATATATATATATATATATATATATATATATATATATATATATATATATATATATACAACAACAGAACAACCAATATGAAGAAATAGTAGAATTCCAGGGGAGAGACAGAGAAGCCTTTTTTTTTCCTAAGGCAACGAGTCAATTTTCAGTAACAGGCTGTCATTTCTGGCTCTTATAACCTTAATATCTTTTTTTTACAAGTACATGTACAAGGTATACAGTCCTAGCTGACATCAATGACATACTGCTATAAAGAAAGCATTTCAGGCAAATTAGATCAATTTTGTCCCAGGATGCGACCCAAACTAGTTGACTAACACCCAGGTACCCATTTTACTGATGGGTGACATAGACAACCGGTATAAGGAAACGCCCAATATTTCTATCCTTGCCGGGAATCGAACCCGGACACTCAGCGTATGAAGCGAATGCTTTTGCCACCAGACCGCAGGCCACCGTTAGAAATCGAGCACATTTTGTGAATCTGAAAGCACTTTAAGCCTTTTCACCTTGAAGAATGTGCTCGAAAAAATTATATAACGTTTAAATTATCGCTATTAATTTTTTTTACATTTCTAACCATGAGTTTATAAAGAATATTTGGATCATTAGTCACAACACATCAGATGAAGAATTGTGACCTCATAACAGTCAGGGAGGGTAGAAAGCTTCGTCTTCAGATTGTGAGAGTTGTGAATTGTTCCAGCCATGAGTTGTGAATTGTTCCAGCCATGAGTTGTGAATTGTTCCAGCCATGAGTTGTGAATTGTTCCAGCCATGAGCTGTGAATTGTTCCAGCATGAGTTGTATTGTCCAGCCATGAGTGTGAATTGTTCCAGCCATGAGTTGTGAATTGTTCCAGCCTAGGCTGGGAATTGTTCCAGCCCGGGCGTTGGGAATTGTTCCAGCCCGGGGGTTTGGAATTGTTCCAGCCCGGGGGTTGGAATTGTTCCAGCCCGGGGGTTGGGAATTGTTCCAGCCCGGGGGTTGGGAATTGTTCCAGCCCGGGGGTTGGGAATTGTTCCAGCCCAGGAGTTGGGAATTGTTCCAGCCCGAAGCGTTGGGAATTGTTCCAACCCGAAACGTTGGGAATTGTTCCAACCCGAAGCGTTTTGAATTGTTCCAACCCGAAGCGTTGGGAATTGTTCCAACCCGGGCGTTGTGAAATGTTCCATTCACTGTTTTGCGACTCTTGCAGATAACGCGTGGATTAACCTGCAGAAGCCAGGTAATTCAGCACAGTAGTGTGGGGTGACAACACGACCTGCCAGTACAGTCAAGTGTGCTACGCTGCAAAAGGGTTGAGTCTCATTGACCAGTTTGCATTCGTTATGCTAGGATTTCAACTATTGCCGTTTCCTCTATCATCGTCTCAGGGAGTGCTTTGCCAGGCAAACATTTTTGGGCTGGATTGGTAACGGGTCTGTCTTCACTGGAATGGAAGCAGGACTGCATATTGACTGCATTGGTAGCAAATTTGTGTATTGGCAAAAATGGTAGCAGGTATGTGTATTTGGCAAGAATGGTAGCAGGTCTGTGTTTGGACTGGATTGTCGCTGCTGTCTCTTGAATGGTTTGTGCATTGACAGAAGTGGTAGCTTTCTGTGTATTTAAAATAATCGTCTCGAATAATCTCTCACAATTTATTGTTTTTATCTATGCTTATCTCGAAAGCTGGGATTGTGCCCACTCAAGTTCTTCGATCCTTTAATCATACGAAATCTTTTAACACATTTTCATATTCCAGCACTAGCAGTTCTGGGATCATCTAAGTAGCAAATCTCTCTTCGTTTTTACTTAGAGTTCATGGTGGCGTCGCATACCTCCATTATCTGTCTAACATAGTCTGTGTACGCTGTTTTGAATGATTCCTTCAGGTTTGTGAAGGCTCTTGTATATTCCAGCTTTCTATATGGCACCGATGTTATTCTATTTACGTGCTCTTCGGAGGAGAGATTTCGAACGACCATCTTAGGCCCTTTTCTTTGAAAGATTCAATCATTCCCGGTATGGTGGTACTCTTCTCTGACGTCACCCTCAGATGTTAGTCTTTTGTCGTTCCTCTTAAGTGGCATCTTTCTGGCGTCCCTCCGTTGTGGTACTTTCTGTGGCTTCGCTCTCGTGTGGTATTTCTTTTTCTGGCTTACTATCTCATGATCCCATCTTTATAATCTTGTATGTACTTAGACAACTCCAGTAGCAATTTTTCTTGACCATTCCTACAGCCAGTTGAATTCTTCCTGTAACATCTTGAAATAAATTTTTGTCCTTATTCTCTTCATTTACTATTTATCATGTACTAATATTTGGATGTACGTATATCCAATTATTAGTACATGTAAGTGTTAAGTGCAAAGATTGCCAAGATCTGGCCCTCTTAGTACTTTACATTTTACATTATTCCGTCTATTATATCACTCCCGCTCTCTGTTGTCTGTTTTACTTCAGTTCCCTTAAACATTGACTTCCTAGCCATTCCAGCCGGGTTTCCCAGGTGCTAGATTAGTTTACTGTGTGGTATCTTTTACAGACCTTTAAATAGTCTACACATATGCAGTCCATCCATCTTTTTTTTTTTTTGTCAGTTCCTTGTTATTGTGACACAAAATAGTCAGATAATAGAGGAAAGATTTCCTCTTGAACTCTTGCTTATTTTCTGCTATTGTTTTCCAGGGGGGTCTACTAATTATTACTTACAATTTTTCCACTTCGTGCAAAGTTTGCATATTTGTGATGGTGGTCTGTAGTTTAGTGCCTCCAAAATTTGCGTTTTTAGAAGATCAGTATGTATGCAGAGGCTCTTGTATGTATGTGTATTTTTTTTAATACGTCGGCCGTTTCCCACCGAGGCAGGGTGATTAAAAAAAAGAAAGAAAAAACTTTCATCATTCAACACTTTCACCATCATTCATATATAATCACTGTCTTTGCAGAGGCGCTCGGATTCGACGGGTTATGTCACTCCAAACAGCCTCTATAACAAGCCCCTCCTTTAAAATGAAGACATTATACTTGCCAACAGCTCGTCAGATCCAAAAAACCATTCATCTCTATTCACTTGTAAGATGCTCACTCACGCTTGCTGGAATTCCAAGCCCCTCGCACAAAAAAAAAAAAAACTCCTTTACCCCCCTCCCTCCAACCTTTCCTAGGAAGTTTCCCTACCCCACCTTCCTTCCACTACAGATTTATATGCTTTCCAAGTCATTGTACTTTGTTCCATCCTCTCTAAATAACCAAGCCACCTCAACAACTCTTCAGCCCTCTGACTAACACTTTTAGTAACTCCACACCTCCTGCTAATTTCCACACTACGAATTTTATGCAATAACATTTACACAACACATTGCCCTTAGACACGACATCTCCACTGCCTCCAACCTCCTCCTGCTGTAGCATTTACAGCCCATGCTTCACACCCATATAAGAGTGTTGGTACCACTATACTCTCGTACATTCCCACCTTTGCATCTATGGATAACTTGTGTGTGTATGTGTGTGTCTCGCATTGTTAAGATCGCCTGCCTGCAATTGTTTTGCATATATATATATAATATATATATATATTATATATATATATATATATATATATATATATATATTATATATATTTATCATCACACTGCTGGCCGATTCCCACCATCATTCACTCCATCACTGTCTTGCCAGAAGGGTGCTTTACACAACAGTTTTTAAACTGCAACATTAACACCCCTCCTTCAGAGTGCAGGCACTGTACTTCCCATCTCCAGGACTCAAGTCCGGCCTGCCGGTTTCCCTGAACCCCTTCATAAATGTTACTTTGCTCACACTCCAACAGCACGTCAAGTATTAAAAACCATTTGTCTCCATTCACTCCTATCAAACACGCTCACGCATGCCTGCTGGAAGTCCAAGCCCCTCGCACACAAAACTTCCTTTACCCCCTCCCTCCAACCTTTCCTAGGCCGACCCCTACCCCGCCTTCCTTCCACTACAGACTGATACACTCTTGAAGTCATTCTCTTTCGCTCCATTCTCTCTACATGTCCGAACCACCTCAACAACCCTTCCTCAGCCCTCTGGACAACAGTTTTGGTAATCCCGCACCTCCTCCTAACTTCCAAACTACGAATTCTCTGCATTATATTCACACCACACATTGCCCTCAGACATGACATCTCCACTGCCTCCAGCCTTCTCGCTGCAACATTCATCACCCATGCTTCACACCCATATAAGAGCGTTGGTAAAACTATACTCTCATACATTCCCCTCTTTGCCTCCAAGGACAAAGTTCTTTGTCTCCACAGACTCCTAAAGGCACCACTTACCCTTTTCCCCTCATCAATTCTATGATTCACCTCATCTTTCATAGACCCATCCGCTGACACGCCCACTCCCAATATCTGAATACATTCACCTCCTCCATACTCTCTCCTCCAATCTGATATCCAATCTTTCATCACCAATTTTTGTTATCCTCATAACCTTACTCTTTCCTGTATTCACCTTTAATTTTCTTCTTTTGCACCCCTACCAAATTCATCCACCAATCTCTGCAACTTCTCTTCAGAATCTCCCAAGAGCACAGTGTCATCAGCAAAGAGCAGCTGTGACAACTCCCACTTTGTGTGTGATTCTTTATCGTTTAACTCCACGCCTCTTGCCAAGACCCTCGCATTTACTTCTCTTACAACCCCATCTATAAATATATTAAACAACCACGG